GTGCTGTTAAAAGTTTTAGGCCCTTGTGTAAAAATGCTGTAAAATGAGGATACTGTCAAAAATAATGTCATAAATAGATTTTCTTTATTAATTAACTTCTGTTAACTAAATTAAATCAACATTTGGTGTGACCATCCTTTGGGTTTAAAGCAGCTTTTGCCCTAGGTGCATTAGAGCATAGGTTTTCAGGCAGCTTTACAGGGAGGTCTCTTGAAGCATCTTGGAGACGTTCCCACATTTCTTCTGGATTTAGTCTGTCTCAGTTTGTTCTGTTTCTTCATGTCATTGCAGACAGACTGGATGATGATGAGATCAGATCTCTGTGTGGAGCACTGGCTGTTGTCAGGCTCCTTGTGCAAACAAAAATCTCACTGGATTATTACTGATTAATTAATGACAAAATGAATGTTTGGAAATGTAAACTGATATTTCCTACTGACACACTACAGCAAAAGATAGAAATAACTTACTTCAAACCATTTCTTTAGCTGGTGAAAATGCTAGTGTTTTGATAATTTTGGCCACCACTATATATATATAAAGCCCTGTAAATAAGATTAATTCTATTTTAATATATCAATTAATTTGATTTAAATATATCAGTATTTAAGATATATGTATGATAAATTTATTTAAAAACTATACAAGATATGGTCATGGTCAAATGTAGTTTATATTATTCTCTCTATATATAGAAAAAATATAAATTTTATTTAAATTTATATGGAAATATATTAAATATATCTCTTTTTTCACAAAAAAAGTCACAAATAACATAATGGATGACCTCATTAGAATGATAATTTAATCACAGTGTCAGAGAATGGCAGAGTGTGTATTGTACAGAGTAATTGGAAATTCTCTTCCGTGGTGCTGCTGGGGATCACAAGACCCTGTGGAATTAGAATGTGTCATTCTGAACCCAGTGGAATAAGAATATGTCAGAACGAAACTCCATTAGATCAATGGGCATCTGCTACAGTCCCGAGTTCTCACATCCAACAGAGCACAAAATATGCTCACATTTGAGAGTATTTATTTCGCACTTTGATGAATCTGAGAATAGGACACATCTTTTATCCTACACGCATGGCTGATGTCCATGATTATATTCCTCTGAAAGGCATGCTATCATGTGTTTGCAGGTATCCCAGTGGAGGATAAGGTGAACATCTTCATCAACAGCTTTGGGTCAATCCAGGAGACCACAATGGTTTGTAAAAAAACATTAGTTAGTATGTGTCTGTACTGTCTATTTATTCTACCCACCTAACTGTTTTTACATATCTTTTCTTTGCATATTTTTTGTTTCATATTAGTCATTTATGCACACAATCTTGTTAAATGTTGTATGTTTGATTGATTTTAAAATATATTTGTCTATTTTTATACTACAGTATGTTGTACCAAGACAAGTTGTATGTTTCATTTCCAGGATTACCGTGTTAACATATTCCTGCGCCAGCGCTGGAATGACCCACGGCTACGGTTGCCAGCTGATTTTAAGTCGGATGCATTGACCGTTGATCCAAAAATCTTTTCGATCATTATCTTCAGCAAGCATGAAAACAAAGCCAAAACAAATCCTGGCCAGGACGCGTCCTGGGAAAATGGCACGTATGGTCACCCTACATTAAAAGAAATAACTTTTCACATGGTAGTAAAATGTACTGCTTTGCTCTGTAGTGCAAACATACTAAAATATGCATTATACTCTATATGGAAATAAAATTATTTTGCTGTTTTGGTTAATAAGCCACAAGAGACCTACGTTATTATTACATATAGGGGTTGTTCATATTCTGGATGTTCTAGATAAAAATGATAAAAATGCGTAATGCAGTTCATTGTTTCAAGCAATATGATAATAAAAACACCAGTGTTCAGTGTATAGTTATCCCTAAATTATTTGCTATTACTAAAACTAATCCGAATAATCAATTTATCCACCATGTAATATAGTTCATGAGGCCATTTACAGTAGCCAAGCAACATAGTAGTTCATTAGCATCAAATCATCATATTAAAATGATTTCTGAAGAATCATGTGACACTGAAGACTGGAGTAATGGCTGCTGAATAGTTCAGCTTTGCTATCACAGGAATTAATTACATTTTAAAATATATTAAAATAGAAAACAGTTATGTTAAATTGCAGTTATATTTCACAGTATTGCTGTTTTTACTGTATTTTTAATCAAACAAATGCAGCATTGGTCAGTATAAGAGACTTTAACATTAAAAAGTCTTACCGACCCTACACTTTTGAATGGTAGTGTAGATGAATGACATTGCTGCATTTTGTGATTAAATTTTAAAGTAAGCCAGGCTTCCCAAGCAGTCTTAAAGTAGTCACCATTCTTAGATTTTTTTATCATATAGGTTCACTTTCAAATCTTATAATCTAATCTCTTTATGAGGTTTCAGAAAGTTTAGCGCTTTGTATCAAAGAATATCAGTGCTTGATGCATTATTCACCAGATGGTTTGCAGTAGATTAAAATTAGCCCTAAACAGTATTTGTAACTATGTAAAGAGATTAATATGAAGAAAACTGTTCATACTGCTTTTATAATAGAAACATAAAAGGGTGTCACGTTTCAATTTCAAGTTTTTAAAGTGCTATTTCCCCCCATTTCAAATCTGGCCCTGGAGTTTATTTATTTCACAGATATGAAATGCTTATTGCACCTCTGGCAATGTGTCCTTGTTACATTTGCTTCGCTGAAAGAGCTGTTGAAATGATTCTTCCCGTATTCACATTTATCATTTGACACTTTTTCACTATATATTTATCTTGTTGTTTTTCTTGCTATTTATTCTGTTCTGATTCTTAACCGCAGCATATTTAGATAGCAGGATGTTTGAAGCTATGGCTGTTTGGTCAAGCTGAAAGGGTCTTTGTGGCATCTTTGCTTTTCCATGTGTGAGAGAGCCTTGGAGTGAGAATCTCACCCCACAGCCTTCTTTACTCTCTCTCTCTCTCTCTCTCTCTCATCTGCTACTGCTGCTCCACATGCACCCAAGACTAATGAACCTTGCAGTGTGTGTGTGTCTATCCTCTCTTCACATACTCTCTCGCACACATGCCGTCTGTTCTAAATTCTAAAAAACTATTCAAGTAAATTCTCTTTTTTTTCAGGTTGTCTGTCACTCTTTCTTGCCCTCTGGACCTAACACTGTTTCCTATGGACACCCAGCAATGCAATATGCAGTTAGAGAGCTGTAAGTGAAATAAACACATACCCACACAAACTGGTACTCCTGCAATAGGACAAAACTACCTAATTTTATATTTATTTTAAGAGATGGAAATAAGGATGAGGTGAAATGTTCATGTAATGTTGTGTGTGTGTTTTTTTTTGTGTGTGTATGTAGATGGCTATACCACAAAGGATCTCGTTTTTATGTGGCAGTCTGGAGACCCTGTTCAGATGGATGAGATTGCTTTACCACAGTTTGATGTAAAGCAAGAGGACATTAAGTATAGAAATTGCACAAAGTTCTACCCGGGAACAGGTATGGATTGACATATAAATATACACTTATATTTACATACATATTAAAGGAGGGTAACACAGAAAGAGGACATAGTGTTCAGCACGGCAACAGCTCAAGAATAGCGCGCACACACACACACACACACATGCAAGTGAGAAAACGCTGACCTCATACCTCTTTTACACTCCTAATTCAAACTCAGATGAATCAATACCTCTGAGATGGGTAGCTTGGCAGAACCACCTCAGTATTAGAGCCAGAGTCTTACTGTAGCATTAAACACTTGGAATGATCACGCGTTTCTTTTTTAATGAATGTTGTGGTTATGAAGTATCTTGTTAAATGGTAAATGTTCATGCCTGAGTACCTTCTGTTCTCTCATCAAGCTCTAAACACCTGATCCATTTCTTTGTGTGTGGGAACTGTATGTTCTCTTTTTGTTCCCACACCCTAGCTATGATAGGAATAGCATACTACCATTCCACCCATGCTATTTCTGCAGTAACTAATTACATTAGTTAACATGAATTATCAATAAAAAATACTTCTAAAACATTGATTAGTCTAAGTTAATGTTAATTTCAACATTTAGTAATACATTATTAAAATCAAAAGTTGTATATGTTAATATTATTTAATAGACCTGAGCTAACATGAACTTACAATGAACAGCTGTATTTTTTATCTAACATTAACAAAGGTAATTAAAACTTAAAACAATAACAAATTTATTGCTCATTGTTAATTAATGTTAGTTAATGCATTAACTAACTTGAATTTATGAAACCTTGTAAAGTTACCTTAACATTTGCCACTGTTTTTTTTTTTACATACTATTTCTAGTGTACATATCTAACAGTATGCAAGTATTTCATTCTGAACGTAGCTGGTCTCTTACTTTATTCACAGATCTTAGATATAGCTACAGTATCTATGATGCTGCTGCATTCTGAGCCTGAGGCAAGCTGGCAGAGATGTTAATGATAATGATACTGTTAATGTTGCTATAGACTGTGCACAGCATGTTTGCCATGTGATCTGTGTAGTTATGTTTGTGTTTCATTTTAGGAGAATCTTATCATGGCCAAGAGAGCTCAACACGTTGCAACTTAAGAAAACGCATGCAAATAGAAAAAGCACCAGCAAATTAAGAAAACAACTTCATCAGTTTGACAACACATGCGCTGCAAATACTCACGATACAGAAATGCGCTACAAATACTCGCAATACAACCAAATACAGAAAGGCGCTACGTACAATGTGACCAAATACAGTACAAAAGTACAAATAAAGCAGCACAGACCACAATGGAAATGTTTCAAGGGGACCCCCAACAACCTTTACGAAAATTAACCATGGTTTTATAGTAATAACCATGTTTTTGGCATATTGATTACCATTTGTATAACCACAGTTGTACAAATACTATATGGTAAACTATGGTTAGTGTAGCAAAACCATGGTTAATTTGTGGTTACCATGGTTTAACTATAGTAACCTTTTTTAATAGTAAAACCATGGTTAAATTTATTAAGGGAATTTGTAAAAGTAAGTTTACATAGCGTTTTCAGAGTTACAGTAATTGTATATTTTGTCAGCTTATTTAGGCTAATAATATCCAAAAAATCTAAGGAATCATGATCAGGATATATAAAATAAACAAAAATCTCACCTTTCAGAGTAGACATTGTTAAGCATGTCTCAACTAGGTTCATCGCTTGTTGCAGTTCCCTTAAATGTTTCCGATGGTCTGTGGGTATTTGCAGCACGTTTCTGTATTTGGTTGTGTCATCGCAGAGTATGGTGTGAATACCTGGCTTTAGTACTACAGTGTATGCAACCCCACTGCCTTATCAGTAAGGTATCAAGACCAAACCTGAAATGTGTTCCATTTAATTCATTATAGTGGATTCTCTTTAAAAGGAACTTAGTGTTGTAAGTCTTTTAAAAGTCCTAATATATTTCAGCTTTTATATATTTAGTTTTTAAAATCTAAATCTCAAGCCATCCAAGATGTAGAGTTTTTTTTTTTTTTTTCAGAATTTGGGGAAATTTAGCATTACATAACTTGTTGAATAGTGGATTCTCTGTAGCGAATGGGTACCGTCAGATGAGAGTTCGAACAGCTGATTAAAACATCACAGTAATCGACACGACTCCGGTCCATCAGTTAATGTCTTGTGAGCTAAAAAGCAGCAAACCATAGCTTCCGGCTAAAAGGTCCTCTATCCATAATATTGCTTTTTATTACAAAGTTGTATGAATCAGGAGAGAAATACACACAGAGCATAGTGAAAACAGTCCAAAACAGTTCCAAACAAACATCAGTGGATTTTGATGTGAAAGGACAACAGGGAATGTACTTTTTCACTGGAGGAAACGTTATTATTGTAGCGAATCAGCTCAAAGGGGAAATATGAATAATTAATCATAACTAGTTATAACTAATTATAAATATTTAGATCCGCTGTAAGCATTCATTTGACCTCTTAGTGTCAACTGTCTGTTAATTCTAAGAGCGTTAATTTCCTGGTTAAGGAAAATAACTTTCTTACTGTACAATACTACTCAGAGCATGTAGCAAAAATCTGCATGATTAGGGACTCCAGTTATGAGCAAACAATGAACAACGTCAAGTGTGATACAAGTAAGACTTTATTAACTACATAAACACTTAAACTAGTCTAACATACACACACACACACACGCATACAGTTGGTATAGGAAAAGGGTTAAAGCTTAGGCAGTAAAAAGAAGAGAAATAAAAACATGAAGCTATGGTACCATTTGATATTCAGCAGATCTACAGCCTGAAGGAAACATCAGTTTCTTAGTTCAAACACACCTTTGTAAAAAGGTGCAAATGATACTTAAAGGGGTCATATGATGCTGCTAAAAAGAACATTATTTTGTGTATTTGGTGTAATGAAATGTGTTTATGCGGTTTAAAGTTAAAAAAACACATTATTTTCCACATACTGTACATTATTGTTTCTCCTCTATGCCCCGCCTTTTTGAAACGCGTCGATTTTTACAAAGCTCATCGGTCTGAAAAAGCGAGGGGTGCTGTGATTGGCCAGCTATCCAATGCGTTGTGATTGGCCGAATACCTCAAGCATGAGACGGAAATCTTACGCCCCTCACCATACTGT